CTTAAGTCAAAATACCATCATACTTCAAAAAATACATAAATAACATTCCATACAGTCATTTGATTTTTTTTTTTTTCACATTCCATTAGTTGGAATCTGGAAGTTAAATCCAATATTTCATAAAGGAAATACTTCATGTACATTTAAGAGTTTATATCTTAAGCCATTCAAAGGTGCAGAAATGCTAAGATCAAGGTGTACTAAGGAAAAATATGCTCACAATAGCAACATCTAACCCTCAAGGAGGTGACCAGCTTCCACACAGCTCACAAAAGGATGCATACAGCCTTTCCTCAGAAGCATTTGTCACAGCATCATAATGCCTGTAAGCTTAATCCAAAGGAAAAGAATATAAACATTTTTTTTTGACAACTTAAAGATACATTTTATGATGTGAGTAATTATTTGGATAGGCCACTAGCTTGTCTAGAAATATATGCTCAATTCTACATTTGCATACCTTTGAATTTAAATTTGTATGAATTGATGGCTCTATTAACCGTTATAGGGGCGAATGTTCCTCCCTTCTCATCACAAATTGCAAAAAAAAAAACATTGCATCCAGTTTAGTTTCACACAATGAAATCAATTTCCACGTGTGATTTTCACTGGCTCAATTAACATCATCCTCCCAACTGAGTAATGCAGATGACATGTGGTTCAGCTAATTTAGCCCCCAGACAAAAATGAGCATACACTGTAAGACTGCATACCAAAGTACGCAAGTATACATTATAACACTGCATACCAAAGCTTCCTCCTTTGATGTATAACTAATTACGACGTCTAGAACAGTTTATAGCAGAAGTAAAATAGGCTTATTTATAAGAAAAATATGCAGAAATATAAAGCCAACTCATGCAACCAACATACTCTAAGATTCGTTCTACAAGAGAGAACAATAAGTTTAACCATCCTAATATTAAACTGCCGTATATCTCATGAGTTTAAAGGTCTATTTTTAAACTTAAAGTGTATTTGTGTAAAACTTCAATAACTTCTCTGAAACAGACCAACTATTGTCAAAGGTACCCAAACATACGCACTTAGAAAATTAAAACTATCACATTGTTAAGTTTTAACGAGATGCTCTTGGAAACCTATGAGTGAAATACATCTCTGAGGCAAATACTTTTTCTTAATTCTTATATTATTCTTTTGTTAATTCTTATATTCTTAATTATTCTTATATCCTTACATTCTTCAAAGTCAGCTTATCTCCTAGAAGCATTAGAACGCCCTCCATCAGTAAACTAAAGATGCTCAGATTCTAAGCTGAAACTATAAGTTTTCTTTTCCTCCTTTTGAATAGCCCACAAGAGATTCTAGCACATCAGAGAACCTTGCTGCTTCTGAAGGAACGCAGTACGTATAATACACATCTTAATAAATGTCATTCCTTATACACATACCTTATAGCACAATTCAACAAACAGTTAAAAAAAAAAAAGTACTAGTGACCTACTTAGCTATAATCAGTGTATTTTTAAAAATCTTCATATATGCTTTACAGGAACTTTCAGGTGGCTCAGTTCTCAAAGTTTCAATTATAAACAAAACAAAGGTAAAAGCCGTGAAGCCATTAAATAAATGGAAAATGTAAGGAATGCAAGATGAAGTTTTCAGAGATGCAGATAGGTAGAAGCTAAGAAAATACACCAATGAGGAACTATTGATAGCATAATTCCCTCAACTGTGTTACAGTTTTGCTCCCTTACCACTAGGGATCAGAGACAATTTATTTTACAAGACAAACGCAAACACTTGACTTCAATAGAGCTTCCTTAAGTATATTTCTGTTGAATTTTGGACGACGCGTTTATTTCAGAATTAATGTATGTTAAAGAAAGGTAGGACATAACTAACATAATGCTCACATAACAACAACAAAAAAATATCACATTTAAGTAATGTTCTTGCTCCTTATAGTGCACAATATATATATATATGAAACATAGTATTCTTCAGAAAAGTTTAAACTGCAATTACATTTTATAATGACCTAGTTCTCAACATACCTATGTTGAGTTAGCAGAAGTACAAATGCAGTCAAGGCTAGAAGTTCTTGTATTTTGGTGTTTGGTTTTTTTCCTAGGTAAGTTGCTCTCAGGATGATCCCTTGCACTCAGACAAGGGCAGGTCCACTGGGTACAGTCCTTTCTATGTCAGCCCATTTTTCAAAACTGGGCTCAACAAAACAAGAAATATTATCTGTACTGCTTTTATCTAGCTTAGAACTATGTGCACCACTCTGTTCTCTACACTGACTTAGTTTGGGTCTCAGTAATATTGGCAAACTGGAGTCAAGCAGGAGGTATGCAGGGTTCAGAGGAGGAAAGACTCCTCCAAGGAAGTCTCAGTGAACTTTTGAGCAGGACATGGACCAACTGCATTTCTACAATCTGTGGTCCACACAGACGTTTTTCATCTTAAAGTACTCAAACCTGGGGGGTGAGTATGGGCATAGTTCTTTGCCCTGTTTCATAAAATACCATGAACAATACGAATGGAAAACAAGCGTTGGATCATATAATCCATTAAATGCCAAGGCAAATTGTCTGATTCATCCTACATTATTTGGACATGCAATCTGGATATTCACGTGCCCAAATTCAGAGACAAATAACGCACTTTATAAAACAATTGGGGGGCATGAAAGGGAACCACAATCTCAGTGATTCATGGTAGAAGAACCAGCTTTGACAGAAACTAAGACTCAAAAATAGAACGCCCTTCAACTTTACCACTAGGCATAAAAAGTGTGTTTCCATTTTTCCTTCATGAAAAGTGGATAGAGATTAATGTTTTTCAAATAGAAGTCATTGTTGTTCTATTATTTCATTTCCCAGTCAGAGAAATCATATAACTCCATAAAAATTCTTCATAAAGGAGAAGAAATACACTTGAAAGTTTCTACTTCTATGGCTAATTTGAGTTAAGTACTATTCACAAAAATGTCTACTTTAATTCTCATAAACATTTTTGTCAACTAGACTATTCTCACCTCCTTTCTCTTTTTTCCATTATGCACTTAATGATATCAGTATTGCCCTTAAGATGACAAGCATAAAATAGAAAGGAAAAAAAACCCACTGTGTTGCTATTTATATTGATTCATGTTACACTCACACAAAAACTTGAGAACAACATCTTGCCAGTGTACAACTCTTCTAAATGATTTACTTTAGTACATGATCTTTGCATTATCTCTTCAATCTTAATTAAATAAAATTTGATTGTCATGTTTGGACAGCAATTCAAAACTTGAATAATTTTACAGACTAGCTGAAAAGATGCCCCTAACATTTAAACAGCTAGATTTCATTTTCCTTGGGAAGTTTCAAGTCTCAATGATTCTACTTAATTTGAGTAGAGATAAACAGCTTCACTACTTTAACTGTAACTGTTCTCTTTTATTTCAAAACATCAGTGGAAATGAGCTGTTTGAAATAGGTAAGGAAGATTAATATGACAAAATAAATCTCAGTATGACTCAAATTCTTGCTATTGTTTAAAGCAAGAACAAACCACCTCCTTCAACTCCAAGAGAGTGGTTTAGAAAACAAAACACAAATGAATAAGCAAAAACCAAAACTAAGCCTTCACATCAAAAGGTTACTTCTCAAGATCCATAACTATCTTTACTATGAAAGTCACTCATTTCAACCTGGTTAGTAATCACTGAGCACACACTACCTGTTACAGCAAACTGCAGTAGCTACGTGCAGTGCTATCATGTTGTAACAGTAGCAGAAATACTTCAGAGAAAGCAGGAGCTTCCATTGTTTCAGCACAGCACTACATTGCTAAATGCAGTATTATGCAAGCCTACCACAAACACTGTAACTATCCATCACGTGTATCGGAAATAATGCTTACACCAGTCATTAATGCATGACATCCCCACAAAACATAAGGATTGTGCTGGACTATGAAGAAATTTAAACCACACTGCTGAAGAAAACGAGCAGCCGGTCCCGTACACCAGCACACAGTGAATAATACAAACCTCTGCCATATGAGAAAGCATGCTGGCAAGCAAAAAACACCAAGATGTCCTTCTCCCCCTTCCACAGGAAAGGACAGCACCTGGCCAAAGGCACATTGTGAATCTGAAAGCCAGCTGAACATCAATTAAAAGGTACCATAGCAATAAAAGGTTGCTGTGTTTGCTGTATCTGTGTAACAAGTTCAGTGAAGCGTCAGTGTCTTTATTCTCTGCAGCAGATTTTGTAACACTTCCTAAAGGCCGTCTCCTTCCCTAGCTCATCCTGTCCCAGAAGTCCCTAAGTTCACAGCAGTAAGTTTCAGCTAACTTCTCAGAAGCCTCATTTGCATAGTCAAACCACAGTAATCCATTTCTCTGTGGGATTTTTAGGGCCATATATGTAATGAATCCCTGACCTGAATGAGCAAGATATACCTCCTCATTGCATCTCACAGCATCACACCACGAGAGGGAAAGGGCTACTTACCTGTAGAGGATACTTAAAATAGATCACTGTATGCTCACCTTGTTCAGCACAGCTTTCATTAGTGCTGTCCTTAACAGATAGCATAATGAATGCTAAAGACTGACTGTTTTAATGAAGCCAGTTAATTGTGATGTTATAATAATTATAATTTTAAATTCATTTTTAAAGTGTACAATATAAAAATACACATCTGTTTACTTGAACATGACTTGAGAAGTCATCTGCAGTTTTAAGGATACCTCTAAAAAGGCAGCCAATAACAGACACAAATAAACATTTATTTTAAACACACTGCTTCTAACCTTGAAGCAGATTCCTTTTGTATTCAAGGAATACCAACATATAGTAAGAATAAATTATCTTCTGCTAGCCAAAATTACTATTCTGAAAGCTGTTATCTGTCCCTTTACTTACCTTATTTCTTCACATTCCCTGTTAGACCTGATAATATGTTACTGTATGGAGGCAGTTCCCAACTATATGTAAAAGAAATTCTAAAAATTACAAAATGTAGTGCAAACTTACCAACTCTATTCCCTGTGGGAAAGGAGTATCTTCCCAGTCCTTCTGAGGAAACCTCTGTATTATTTTTCCCAAACCTTCTGCTGGGCCTGCTGAAAGATAAAAACACAATTACTGAAAGACAAAATTCAGTGACACGAGTGCAAACTGGCAGAATTTCAACTACCATAAAGTTGAGAATATATCCAAGACTTGGAAATGTTTCACCCCAGGAGGAAGAACTGGTTCCTCACACATATCTTGCAAGTTACACAGTAAACACAATCTTAATATTCTCTAGTAGTAACCTCAGAAGTAAGGACATGAAAAGAAGAAGCTGGCTGCAGCTCGCAGCTATCTGCCACATGTTTCAAAAGAGATGGCTGATTTTTGGTAATCCTAGGCTCTTTCTACAAAGAAAAGTAAATTATAAGTATAGTCTGTTATTAAAAAAAAAAACGCCACCACCACACACACAAAACAAATATTTAGCAAAAAAAGCAGTCTTCAAATGGGTGAAGTCCACAGGCTAAAAGCTTATAGGATTTATCTGGGACATTCTAGTGTCCTAGGAATCCAGCTGTGATTTCCATCACCTGAGATTTTCTGCACTGAAAGGCACGAGGAAAAAAAACAAAAAAACAAAAAAAACAAAAAAAAAAACCTGCTTATTTCTGCTTACTTCTCTCGATTATTGGGGTTTTTTTGCCTCTCATTTTCCTTTTTTTTTATTTTTTAATTAAATACAGTGCAGTAGATATCAAGCCCTTCAAAAGAGACAAATATTCAACTGCTGCATTCCGTAACTGTGAATAATACAGAAGCACACATACAAACAAATCTGCACACTCATCACCTCAGAACTGTTGAAGACTTTGAAAAGAACCTGAAAACAACCAACACTTTTACTGAACTTTATCTCTGGGATGCACAGTGTCAGCCATTTGAAAGCAATTTTTACATTACTCAATATTTCACAGTTTTCAGCTGGCTTGATTTTCTTCACAGTGGCTCATATGATGCTGTGTTTTGGATTTCTGATCAAAGCAGTGCTGATAACACAGAGCTTTTCTGCATCTCAAACTGCCCTGCCAGGAAGGAGGAAAGGAAGGAGGAAAGGAAGGAGGAAAGGAAGGAGGAAAGGAAGGAGGAAAGGAAGGAGGAAAGGAGTGATGGCTGTTACTGTTGTTACTGATGTTTCTGTTCTGATTCTCTCTCCGCGAGAGCAAGAGGGCATCTGCGCAGTGCTGAGCTGCCTGCCAGGGTTAAACCACAGCACAAGACTGTTCTGAAGGAATGCTGCACACCAGGACCAATGTGAGCTGAGTCACTACGCAATGCAAAGCAGGCTGTCAATAGACTCTGGCTTATGTCTTTCACATTTAAAGAAGCAGCACACAGCAGAGGAGAGAACGTTCATCTTCAGTCTGTACAAGAGGGTCTTTCCTCTTACAGCCATCTTGCCTTTTCCACAGAAAAACACCAACTTCTCCATGTTACTTATGTTACAACATCACGTTGTAACTAATTATATTATGCTACAAGCACAAAATAGATTAATATTAGTCTGATTGCTGAAGAAAATTGTTTTAAGATAATGAGAAAGGAAGGTGACATCACAATAAACATGGATGAAAGTCTGATTTAAAATAGAAGCAGGTACTTAGGAAAGCAGACTTCAACAAAACACACATAAAAGTTCCTGAATAGCAAAACTGAAGTCTGCAACATCTTAAAATGCATTTTAATAGTTAAAGCCCACAGCAGTTGAGATGAATCTTGAAAGAATCAACAACATAAAGAAAGATCAAATTTAGAAATAAGGTTTTGTGGAAGGATGCCTGAAGGACCATGCATCACAGACCCACTCTAAAGGCAAAACATGAAAGCAAGTAGCTCTGTATCGCAGCATACGAGCACCAGGAGAAAGAAGTTTCCTATCAGAAGTGAATAGAGAGGAAAAAAAAAAAAAAAAAAAGAAGGCCCTGATAATCCTTCCAAATAAATGTCCCGTGGTAGAGATTTGCAAATTTTACACTGCATGAAATCTATCGGTTTCATATGGCTATTTAAATAGAGATAAATGGGAAACCATCTCTGTGTTGCACAATCATTTTATTATAGCTGTTGCAGCACAAATGGCAGACACAGAAAGAAAAGACTACAGAATTTCATCAATAGCTACAATTTAATTCAGTACACGCTACTACTGACAATTTTCCAAAAATTACCAAATTCTCATACCAAATGTGAACAAAAACTCATTTTACAATGAGTTCACATTTTCCTATTTTTGTGATTTTTAAAAAAAATTTGATCAAATACTTGAAAACACATTTAATCAAGAATATAAAATTCTATTTTGTGTGTAGAAATCTATTAAAATATAACACTTGAAGACATCAGAAAAATTAGACATGGAGGGGAAGGGATACAGATGTACAATTCTGCCCTTCCAGTTACCCCTATGCTTTGGTATGCAGTCAAACATAAAATGTGGTCTCCCAGACTTTGTATAAGGCATACAGTTTCTCCAGGTCTCCCTGAATGGAGGCACACTCCAGCAGATGGGCTTCAAAAGTACATACACTGACATAGCAACAAAGAGCCATTTCTCATTCCACTATACTGTTCACCTCACATGGTTAGAAGAGGAAAGGAAATAACCTCTGCCACGCTTTCCACTGCTTCCACTGGATAAGCAATAGCCTTCACCCATTTTATTTAAATAAAATAATTTAAAAAGATCGGTAAGGCTTTCCAACAAAAGAATAAATGCTAGATCAGAACCACATTCCCTCCACTCTACATCCATCTTCTCCAAAGTCTTGTTTCATGGACATATAATTCTTAAATGTCCTTCTTAAAAAGGACATTCCTTCTCCACCAAAGCGAATGTTCTATTAACTGGAGCTAATTAACTAAATGTGTTGCCCACTAAGCTCACACACATACACAAACTGACCATAAATCCAAGCTTACAGCTCAGCCTCTACTGTTAGTGCCTCCTGCTGCTTCACAGATCCCAGAATTTTTCCTATTTCCTTTATTCACTCCCTTTACTGAGACTTTGAGGAAGAATTGGCTGTCATTAATACAGACTTTTGAACTGAAAAAATGGGATACTTCAGTGTTAAATTCAGACAGTCACAGCCAGCCAGATGGACCTCTGCATCTCTAATGCAAAAATAGCTAATTGTGGTGACTAGGCTGAAAAATAGTGCTTTGTAGCAGAGCATGTGCTCCATCAGAAAGTGTTACTGTGTTCTCTGCACGTGTTTTAGTTTCCATTGAATTAAATAGGAAGCATTACTTTTGGAGCAACCTACGTATCTATAACTGCTTAAACTCAGATGCATTAGGCACATCATTCAAACTACTTACTAGAGTACACACACAAATGAGCATGGCATGAACAATCACTGCATATGAATGCGTTCTACGTAAAGCAGTAATTGCTTTTATTACTACATATGCAAAAGATGCCTGGCAGTAACAAGAGCTCAAGAGACCACACTCAACAAAACCACTGCCGCTGCTATTATTAAACACTATGTTATCTCCATAAAGTTATTTCTGCAAAACCCATCCTATTCTTTGACTGAAGTATTTTGCAATTATTTTTACTTAAATTCTTGAGTAAATTATTTACATACCACATAAAGCGGCGTATAAAAATTCAAAAATTTAGGAATTTTGAAAGCAGTGATTTCAGTGGCGATTACAACAACGAACTGTGATTTCATTTTCAGGAAGGAAGAGGAGTAGAAAAATAAGAACTAAAAGGAACTCCAGCAGTATCTTTATCTTAAGGATCGCGTAAGCCATTCTATTATGAATGAAACCTGATCAAACAGGAAATCTGACCTACATTTTTATGCATAGCATTCTATCACCTGCACAACAGCTACACAAAGAGAATTTGTCCAAGACCAAAATGGAATTTCAGCCTGTAAAAATTCCAAAATCAGCACTCTAAGCCTTAAGAAACTGAGGAAAATCCAACTTTTCTCCCCAAACTCTTCTGACTGCACTCTTCCTCACTGCCCTCTTCCCATCTTTGTCTTTCAACAACACAAACATGCAACATACTAAAATTCTGGCACAACTTGCTGGTTCCTGAACCCTAGTCCCTTAAACTCCCTTCTTATATAAATCTTCCCCATGAAAGGTCACATGCCATCTCATGCTTGCCCTTGAAATTCCAGAAGCAAGCTGTTAATGCAACTTACATTCCAAATTAATGAGAACTCTGATAAACTCTGTCTTTTTACTTACAAGCCCGTGATAAAAATACATTTAAGTTATAAGTACTGTTAATCATACCAGCAAAGCCCTGGGTATAAGCACTTTGGTGATCTGTTAAGGAAAATTACAAAATGCCTCATTTTCAGGTCTACACAGAAGAAACACTACGGATCACAAAGAATGAACTTCAGCAATTCTGCCACGTAAAATACTTTAAAACTACCAGCACACGTTCTCCATATGAAGTTACCAAATCACTCGGCGTACTGAGAGCCACAGCTTTACATGTTTGAAGATACAAACATACTGATGGTGAATGATACACTGTCACAGGTAGCACTGCTTGTCCTTCCCAAAACACTCCTGAGTATTACGGGAATCACTACAATCTGTTGGGAAATCAAATCCTTTTTGTATCAGTGCTCTTCAACAGTTTGAAACAGCAGAAGGTAAAGATTTTTAATCATACAGAAGAAAGAGACCAATAACGCCAACTAGGAATTAATGAAGTCAAACACAGATAACTTCCTGTGGTGGCTGTTATTAACACAAAACCACAATTCCATATTTCCACATTCGCTGACCCTTGCTCAGTTTCTGCTAGACATGTACCAGCTGTATGTAAAAGCAGCTAACTGCCTCACAATTTCACCAGTTAAAAGGATCGATATACAAACGCTAAGTAAAACTTGTCCAATTTGCCAATAAAAGATTTTGTTTCTGAACAAACACGGAACACAGCGATTGTTTCAAAACACCACCAATACCACAGCACAACTGAAGTCAACTTTCAGTTCACAGACAGGTTCCTCACCTCAAATCCCCATACAGTCTGGTACTACGGTTCCTTACAACGCACTGCCTT